GTATAGTGGTTCGTAAGCGGGCTCAGACCAGAATATTTCAGGAGTGTCCAAAACATTGCTCACCAAATTAACATTTATTCGCATTATAAACAACTATGTATATGAACTTGGTTGTAAATAAAATCTTCTACTTAAAATAAACCTCGCAATAAATATATTACCTGTCCAATCTTCTTGGTAATAGCAGTTCTAAATAACAGCAAAATATTCGTTGATATAATAAGCAAAGACTTGTACTATAAAATCAAACAAGTAACATTTATATACCTCGACATCAAAACTTTTCCTGTATCTGCCATTGTTTGTGGAATATGTTTCGTGGCCTCAATTGTATCCTCAATCAATTCTTCAAATAAAGTCATCTTGACTGATTGTGCAATGGCGTGAGAAATTGTGAGTTTGACCATGTAATTTCCGGAATTTTTAAGTGTGATTACATCATTGTATATCCTGATATACAACAATAAACACATTCTCATAGTCAACAAGAAGTTGTTAAGATAGGCGAATCCTCTGATAATAAAAGTTACCTTGGTTGATACGAAGCGGCATAATGATAATGAAATTCCTCAGTCTCAACATCGGATGCGGCTTTGTGAAAGGAATTAGCCACGCTTTGAAATTTCTATGCTATAATAACTTATTACATAATGCATACCTAGCTTCTCTTCCTCAAAAGCAACTAGATCGCGCAATAAACTTTTCTCTTCCTCTTCTTTCATACCCCAAATAACAACTACACCATACTCAAAGTAGAAAATTTCCGGAATTAATTGTTCTTGCGATGGAACAGTTACTTCTTCGATTTCTAAAAGATCTGCGATTATGGGTGGCTTAGGAAAGAATGAAAATGTAGTGTATATGCTGTAAAAATAGAATATCAAGAACCTTCTAAGTTCAACTAGTACAAAGACTGTGATAAAATAAATATATCGATCAAAAATTTTTTTTTGAATTACCATTCGTCAATCCGTTTAGGCGCGGTACTATTTCGAACCTTGATGTTTTGAAGGTGTTTCATCAAATCATCCATTCTATAGGATCTGAAAGAATAAAATATCAATAAGACAAATCATTAAATTTTTTTAATGTTTAATGTGACAAACAAAGGACACTCACGAAGCGGTGCAATAAGCAGTAACGCGAGGAAGTCGAAGACGCTCTTGTTTGCTGAACTTTTCTGCTTCAATTCGAGCGGTTCCTTGTGGAAGTTGTCCAATTTGATTATACTTGTCATCGTT